CTTACAGTGAACACGGCAGGCAAAGGGGCAGAGTACTTCCCTGTGGCAGTTAGAAACCGCCAGCTGTTCTGTGGGAGAAAGAGGAGGCTTTCTGCTCCCAGAAAGAGCTGCAATCTCAGAAACCCACAGGGGCAGTTCATGAGTAGGAGTCTAGTTGGTGGCAGTGACAGTTTCTGTTTTTGTTTTTTATAGGACGGAGTCGAACTGCCCCTAGGACTCACAAGGGTGTAAATCCTTATAAATGCAGCCTGTCATCTCTTCACCCTGCAAAGCGCTCCTGGGTACAAGCAGTCAAGCTTGCTCAGTTGGTAGGCAAGCATTGTAACCACTTTGCCACCAGCTCTTCTTTTAATATCATTAGTGACCAAGAAAATGCAATTCAAGATCATTTAAGAAATGTTTAAGAATCTGTTCATACAAATCATTAGAAAGTGCAAAAATGTGTAGGTTATAGTACTGGTGGGAGTGCAAATTGTACAGCAACTTTGGCAAACAGTTTTTCATTAGCTTCTAGAATAGAGCAATTAAATATTCCATAACCAAGCCATTCCATTTCTACATATAGACTTGTGCTGCTCATAAATAAAACTTGAGCCATGTATATAATTTTCAATTTGCTAGTAGTCATATTTTTTAAGTAAATTAAGAAGATGAGGTTAATTTAATAATAATTTTTAGCTAACAATTGTATCCATAATGTTACCAAGATGTAGTCAATATAACACATTAGTGAAGTATTTTACATTTTCATACCAACCAAAATTTCTGAACCATTGTATATATATTTCATATTTAGAAACTGTCTCAATTCAGATGTAAACTTACATTCATAAATTTCACAGTTAGAAAAGTAGGGCCACATCCCCAAATATTTCCAAACATGGTTAAATGTTTTCTTTGATTATTTTTTTAAATAATTAAATCATTTTATTGGGGGCTTGTACAACTCTTATCACAATCCACATATACATCCATTGTGTCAAGCACTTTTGTACATTTGTTTCCATCATCATTCTCAAAACATTTGCTTTCTACTTGAGCCCTTGGTATCAGCTCCTCGTTTTTCCCCTCCTCCCTGCTTCCCCCTCCCCCATGAATTCTTGATAATTCATAAATTATTATTATTTTGTCATATCTTACACTGTCCTATGTCTCCCTTCACCCAGTTCTTTGCTGTCCGTGACCCAGGGAGGGGGTTATATGTAGACCCTTGTAATCTCTTCCCCCTTTCTCCCTCACCTTCCCTTCACCCTCCCGAAACGTTTTCTAATAAACAAAACAAGCACCAGATAATTATTTTCCTTTAATAATTGCACCCATATCTTTTTAAGGAGATTTCATTTAACTTTGAAACCAAAGAAGATCAGTTTTACAACTATACATCTGTCTGAGTTAAATAGATTAACTCACACGTCAAATTCAATATTGTGTGCCATTGAGTTGATTCCAATTTGTGCTGACCCTACAGGAAAGAGTAGAAGTG